GAAAATCCATCTACTCTCCATCCTTCTCCCCTGAACCTCACCTAAGAAAGCCCAGGGACTCTGGCTAGCTGATAGGCCAGCAAACTCTAAATGCTCCAGTGTGCCGTAGCTAATGCAAGGGACAAAGCCATTCATGGTGTCTGGCCCTGGTTCCTTTCATCAAGATAAGGACCTCTGCAGCCGTGAATCCTAGCCATAGCAGCACTTGTGGCCGCCCAAACATGCTAGCCCCTATCCATCATTCTGCAGCCCCCACAGCACTTAAAGCTGCAAATGACAAAGAAGCTTCACAGAGAGGATCGATGTTGGGTTAGGGCAAGAGCCACTTGAGAGCAGGCAGGAACAAAGCCGCTCTGGTATTCAGAAACTGCTCTGCCCACCAGGGACAGGCGAGTGGACATTTTGCCTGGGAAAGTCTCCACATCTGCCTATCTGCTGCTCCCAAACATACAGTCCTCGTTTTTTTTTAAGCTGATTTTCACTGGAAGAACACAAAACTGCAGTTTGATTTAGTTCTGCTTTGTTTTCAGTGATAGCCATACCAAATTTTCTATTTATAAGATGAAGAATGAAAATAAACAACAACAAAACCTCTTTCTGATATTCTCTCAGAAAAATTCTTAGAAACTTAAAAAAAAAGTTAAATCAAATCCATATTATTTAAACTTGAAATTGTTGGATTAGAAAGAGTTTGTAAAACCTGTCTTATTCCCTTTTTAGCTCTTTGTCATCCATTCATTTTCTTTCCTGTTGTCTGTGTTCCTTTAACTCGAAAATGTGAGCAAAAATGCAAGTTAATAATGCCTGCCTCACCTGCCTCATGGGATTTTCAGTGTGGATTGATGATAATAAAATAACACAAGTTATCTGTGTTGATATGGTACTTTACAGTTTATAAAGGAAGTGCCTTCACTTAATCTTCACAGTGACCCAGTGAGTGGGTAATACAAACTACTGCATATCAACGTGGGTGGAGAGAATCACACAGCGCAGTGTGCTTATTGATGGTGTAACTGTAAGGAACGATGACAACAAGTGTCCACGTGTCTGTTTCTTTCAGGAGGAGGAGTGGGAACAAGGGGCAGCTGGACTCTCCTGTCTGCGGCCTGGATACTTCTCTCAGACGACTCCAGGACACTGGCAGCCTCAACATTCTGGCTTCCCAAAGCAGCTGGGTGAACTGAGGAGCTGTGTAGGGGCTGGGTGAGGAAGGGTTGGGATACAGGCTTGGTTGCTCCTGGGGGCCAGCCATCTGTGTCACCTCTGCCCTAGAGATGCTGTGAACATATCCAGCTTTACCCCTCCTGCTGCAACTTAGCCTCACTACTGCTGATCTGTCCTGCTCACAGCCTTCCACAGTGAGGGCTTAATTGTCAGGTGTGTCCATTGTCTATGACAGAGTGCAGAAACCCACTTCCAGCATCAGTCAAGAAAGCTAAGAGTAACGCAATCTCTTCTTCCTGGGAGGCTCGGCACTGCGGCTTGGACTCAGAGTTAGTCAGTCGGCACAAACAACCTGTCTTCCATTTCTGGCTGCATGTCAGAGATCAAATTTCTGAAAGTAAATGAATTTTTCAAACTATCACTTGAGTTTTAGATTACATTTCCAATGTAGAATTCTATTCTTTCATGAATGCCAACCTCCTTCCCTCTGGAGTCACTCCTCTCTTTGGTCTCAGATGTCACTTTTCCCAGGGGCCTTTGTGGTATTCTCCATGCTGGGTGCTCTTTCTGGGGCTCCATGGTGCCCATGGGTCACCCTACTGCAGTAGTGTAATCACTGATTTTCTCCTTTATCCCCTCCAGCAGGCTGTGAACTTGGAGGCAAGGACTGTGATCTCTTCACCTTTCTATTTCAGATGCATGGCACACAGCTAATAAATATTTTTAGAATAAATCAGTAAGTTTAGTGAATTAATCAAAGCAGCCTAGAGAGCAGTGAAAGTCGAGCTGGGCACACTCCTGGCTTGCATTAATGCTGTGACTCATCAGTGCCCATTCAGATGACTATATTTGCCTGAATCAAAGTGGTTAAAATTAGTCCCTGACCCTCGAAGGTATTTCTGCTTCATCCTGTCTTTACACTACAAAAGCATCATCCCTCAAACAACAAGCTTGAAAGAATATTTGCAAAGGGGCTTGGGAAGGTACACATAAATTTTTTATAAAATTTTTGTTGAAGGAAAAAGATAGAAATTATCACCCAAAAAATGAGGTAGCTTTTTATAACGCTCATGACCACGATTTCTTTGGGTCCATGCATGAGCACAGAACTAGGCCCACTGTCTCTACTGGCTGGAGCTTCTGACTCACGCTGACAATCAGGCTACTCAAGTTGATGTGGCTGCTGAAGGGCATAAGTGGACCCGAGGCTGTCAGGACACAGAGCAGAGGCTCTGGGCATGACCCTCTATCAAGCCGTGCCAAGTATTAATGAGTAATCTCCTGGCTTGATAACCAGTGTCTGCTGCTATGCATCCCTAGCACTCATCTTCTATCGCATTTCAGTTATTTTAGACAAGTCCCACTTTGCATGATTGATCATTATGTTTACTTTCATGAGGTTTAGGTGGGTGGGAAGAAAAACACAGAAAGAGAGTATGGCAGGAAGTCTCTTTGCAAAAGATTCATATATTACCTTGTGTTATGGCTTTTTAAAACCCAGATTCTTAAGTGTTCTGAGGTTAAATGCTTCCTATTTGCCACAGAGTTGAAGGATGATGATTTAGCTGATGTTTTCTTTCTTTCTTTCTTTACAAGCGCAATTTTACATTTGGCTCTCTATAGATTAATGAGCTTTTTCACTAGGGAAGGTCATTATTAGAGAAGTAGATTCTGAATTCTGACAGAGCTTATTTGGGAAATGAAACTGAAGAATTGTACTTAAAATGTATCCGTCTGCCTCTTCCTCAGAAAGCTTCTTGTTTGGGGCTGGGGTGGGAAGGAGACTGGCTGAGTCATCCAATCTGAAGTTGAGTTAGGCTGCTTCTAGATCATTTGAGAAAAGTGGAGGAAAAAATAGGGGTGTGGTCACAAGCTGCAAACATTTCCCCTTATTTCCTCTATTTTCTCTCTTAATACATTGATATCAAAAGGAACTTTGAATTCACATAATCTAATGACAACATTTTACTGATTTTACAATTATAGCTACCATTTACTAAGCACTTATGTGTCTGTCATAATATATGTAGCCCACTGAGATGAATACTATTATTATTTCTATTTTACAGATGAGGAAACTGCAGCTCAGAGATGGGATATGTTACCTGCTTAAGGTCACACTACTTGATGCATGGCAGAGCTGGGATGGAAACTGAGATTTGTCTGATGTCAAAGACAACACTATGTATCTTACACTACATTTTCCCTCTTGTTTAGAGGATAAGGGAGAGGACGTCCACAGGTGTTAAAGGACTTGTTCTAAGTCACATATCATGTTAGTGGCACTGCTGTGATAAAAACAGAGGTCTCTGGACCCAAGGCTTTCATTCTACATAGCACTGTAGCATTGTAACTTGACGTACAACCAAACAACCACATACCTTCAATATTCTGAGAAACTTCCAATTTCCTATATTTTTTTACTCTTTAATAAGAATGCTTTTATTCTATACCTAAATGACATTTTTTTATAGGTTTCTCTTTGCTCTGTCAATACATTTACAACCCAAAGTCCCTTTTTTTCTAGATCATGTATCTTTTCTGGTTGGAACATAGGGGCACACATGTAGGTTTAGGACAAGAACATGTGTGATAGATGCCTACGATACCCAAAGCATAATCAGAGTAGCTGGCACTGAGGTAGCAAACGGGAGTTGAGAGACTCTGAAAAAACAGACATATTCAGCCCCATCTACCCACTGTCTGCCTGAAAGTCTGAAATTCCTGTGTTAGAGTCACTTGCTTCGGTGAAGGCATCATATCACCAGTTAAAACAGATATATGCTATTATTTATTGTCTGAATATTTTACTTCATTGCATTGAACCAGATGGTCAGATGTTGAAGGAATGGGATAGAGGGGAGGTAGGTTTTGGGATAAGAAGAAGAATTCAGGAAAGAATCAAGGCAGAGATACCCAATGCCTGATCAGTCCAGGTAGATTAATGCCCAAGGGGGCACTTGGAGTTGTGGCAAGTAAATATTGGAGGAATTGTGTTTGCCAGGACAAAAAGTAATGATTCTCTTGCTAGCTAAGACATTTTTAGGAATAGTTCAGGTAGTCAGTGGTTGACATCATACCAAATACTCAAGGTAGAGAGAGAACCTGGGAAAAGGAAGAGGAGTCTAAAATGGAAGAAAAACAAATTAAAAATTAAGTAGGACATAACAGGGCCTGGGGACAAATCCTGCAGGTAAGTCCATGACATCTTGGCATTGACTCAGGTTAGAGCTCCTTGACAGGGCAACCTGGCGCCTATCACACATGCCCCAGAAGAATTCAGGCCACATGGCTTCCTGTGTGAGAATGGCAGTGGGCAGTGAGCCACTGACCCACTGCATCTGCAAAGGACAATCAGCTCCCTGTGTCCCAGCTTCGTCCATCATCTGCACCGCAGGAGTACATATCACAGCATTCTACAACTCTCTTCCCACTGCTTGTCCTGGCATTGCCACACTGTTCACTGTTTGTCTAGAAGGGCTGGTGGGTACTTCACAGGTAAGCAGGTGAAGAAGGGTCATGGATGTCACCATACTCCAATGTCCATATCTGCCACCACCACATCCATCTTTCACCTGAGATTTACCCAGCCACACAACAAATAACCCTGCATTCCCACCAGCGCAATCTTCATTTATTTGAAGACGTTGGAGGAGGACCACAATGCAAACCGGAAAATAGTTCCCAAGAGTGCCTTGCTGCTAAATTTGTTGGCTAAGTGGCAAACGGGGCAAATCAGCCTGTGGTGAATTTAGAATTTGAAAATCATGGTGATTATCACTTGATGGGAGAAGAGGGAGAGGATGAGATAGGAAACCCAGTAACCCACCTCTTACCTCCTACTGCCGAATAATCAAGGCTGATCACAGACTCGGGGTGTACAGAAGAAGGTTGTGCTGATCATGGCGTGCAAAAAAATTATATTTTGGTGAAGGAAAGCCTCTTTGGCACACATTTTGCTTATTGTGCAGACTTGGAGGGAAATTATATAATAAGCAGAAGTATTGTTCACAGGAAGTGAGGGGGCTGCCTCTGCGCCCTGCACCCTCTCGTCTCGGACTCCAAGAACCTTTTCTAGTTTCCTAGGTCTGCTAGGGGCAGGCAGCAGGCAGACACCCTCTTCCCTGAGTGAGCCTGGCCAGTCAGCCTTCACATGGCTGCCCTGGTTGGTGTTTACCCTCTAGGGAAACATAAGTGCCCCCCCCCATGGCTCACATTTCACTTGGTGCAAGTTTATTCAGAAGCGTTTCTCTGATCCCTAGTTTCACTCTCAAGCCAGAGACTATGAATTTCTAAAGTCCAAGGGGCGTGTGCCCCTCTGGGAGTCAAACAGCCTTTGGCTGCCTTCGTCAACAGCTCCTCGTGAAACACTGGACTCCTGAGAGGATTCACCCCTAGAAGATTGCAGAACCAGGGAAACGGCTCTTCCACCTCCTGGTTCACCACCAATGCCTGCCCACTGCCCTACGGTACAGGCTCAGGGAACTCAGACCAAGCTTAATAGCAGCCTAATTTCACAAGATAATTACAAAAGTGTTTTTTTTGGTTTTTTTTTTGGCTAACAGCAATATAAATAAACATATATATATAAATAATGGCATTTTGAAGTCAATCACCTTTGAAAGTAAGTACTGTACTTGTTTTTAAAGGAGGTCCGTGTTATTGAAGACCCCCTATTTAGATGATGGAGATTGGTTTGTTCTCAGCTGGAGCAGGGTAGACACAGAGTGAAAAAGGACTGGGTAGCTTTCTTGTTACTGTCTTGCTTCTTTGGGTGGGAGGTTGGACTGAAGTAAGGAGAGAAAATCAGTGAGAAAAACGCTAAAGAGCATGGCACCAGCCCTAGCAAAAGCACAGGCTCCACCGTCTCCTCTCACTCTGACATCTTTGTCCAGCCCGGTGTGAGATAAGTGGTACCCAGGAGTTCAGTGTGATAGACAGCACCCATTCCTGGCCATTCTTTGAGCCTTCTTTAGGGAAGGACTTCATCAGCACCAGATGCTTGGTCTCTCTCTTTCCACCCCTTCACTCCTTCCACAGAGATGAGCAGTGACTTATCAAGAACAAGGCAAGAAGGATTCAATCTCAGCTCTAGAGGTTGCATGAGGCACTGGGTTAAGAATTCATGACACTCCTCCAAGCTACCTCCCTAAGTTTTTTCATGTCAATAGTTATGGGATATATTTCTTTGTCACCTTCTCCCAACATTCATTCTTTCATGTAACAAGGTGCTATCTTGGAAAATGTTATCTTACTTTTGTCTTTTGCTTTTCTGTATATTCCTTAACCATGAAGCAGCCTGGGCCCAGGAAGAAGAGGAAGCATCATGTTTACGAGAGGTGGTGCTCCAAGGCCCCAGCTTCCTACTGAGTTGAGAGCTGGTGGTCAGCTGAGGGGGCTGGGAGGCAGGCGGGCTGGGCCTGGGGACAGATGGAAGATGTATCAGACACTCAACAGCATCCACAGCACCACCAATTGCTGGGAGAAGGCCAGATTCCCAGGGCCCTGAGTAAGCTGAGCAGCAATAGGCTACAAGCTCATCAGCCATAGAGACCAAGGGCATTGCTGGCACATGGATCCGAACTGCCTGCCAGGGAGGGATCAGCAGTGGGTCCCAGGTCAGGGGTTTCGTTCCTCCAGTGACACAGTCAGGCCAGCCACTTCCCTATGTCCTGAATAACATCTAGCAGAGCAGCCAGGAGACAGGAGAACCATCTGAAAGACTGAGCAATTCTACCAAAAACACTGAGTTAAACCTCAAAAGCGAGTGTCCATTATTGTTTCTGTCCAAGATTTAAACTGAACTCAAGTTTTTCTCTCTGCTACCTAGCAGCTGAGCTCCTGGCATGTAAGAAAGGTAAGGTTGGATATAGATTCAATAAAGAAACTTTATCTTCTTCACATCTCCCAGTTGGAGTAAGAGTAAATTTGTAATCACACTATTCCATTCCTTCACGTGTTTATTTAACAAATAATCATGAAACACCTGCTACATGTTGAGACTTGGGCTGGGCACTCAGGATACTGGTTGAGCTTGGGAGCCATGACAGATTTTGTGGTTGGAGGAACACTGTCTGACTAGGCTACCATCATAATAAAGATGTCTTTAAATAAGATTATATCCTGTGCTGGGGAAGATGAGCTCTGCTGCTAAGATGTACACCTTAAATAGCTGAATACTTCCAATTTTATTTCCCTGGCAAAATTGTTTTTATCCCACTCAGAAAAACTGGCTTGAGGTTATTTCTACTGACAACTTTCTCCACAGTAGGATGGACCCAGCCAACAAGCGACCCAAGTATTTGTTTAGTAATATTTGTGAGTCAAAAATATCATCACCATTCCTTCAGGTAATGGAAGAAACAGGAGATTATGGAGACCTAATCAGCTGTGCAGTTTCTCCAGACCCCATTATAAAACTGATGGATTCAGTTCATAGCAGAAATTACAAAATATGTCACTCTGATAATTGGTACAAGAGGAAATACAAATAACAAATAAACACATGGAAGTAATTTATATTTTCACAAGTATAACCAAACAAGTGCATACTAAATCAAACTTTAGGGACTATTTTCATCTGAATTAGCAAAAAAAAAATGCTATCAGGAATTTATTAAAAAAAACTATTTTATGCATTTACTGCTATATCACTGTTGGCACTGTAAAGCGGTATAAACTTTTTTGGGAAAGATATAACACAGCATAGACAAAACAACAAATATGGCCATATATTTGCCTTACTAATTTGTTTCCTAAGACTTGGTATCCTAAGAAAATAATTCAGTAGAAGCAAAATCTCTATGAAGGCAGAGTATTCTTTATACCATTATCAACATGGGGTGGGGGAGAGAATACACAATCTGAAAATCCAATGATTGGACAATGTGGACATATTACACAGTGAATTAGCACGCATTCACAGAGAGAAATAGATAAGAAAAATATGTGGCAATGTGAAAAATGTGATGAAGTGTTATTTAAAAAAAGCAGTGTTAGGAAAGATACTATGATTGCTACTATGTAAAACATGAACATAGATAATAAACAAAAATGGTAGCGACTGTATTGGAATGAGCTATGTTACTTCTCAATGTTTTTTTTTTAATATTGTTACATCTGATTTATAATGAAAAAGTGTTCACAAATGAAATCGAAAGTCTCTGTCAAATATAATGTGGCCTTGCATCGCCTCATAAATCCTCAAAAATAGACAGTCGCATGAGTGATAGCTGCACTTCAGGGACTAGTAAATGGCTTTTAACCCAGATCTATAAGGAGTATGTTGAGTGGTTTTGAGGTGTGTCAGAATAGAAGCAGCACGTAGAGAAAAGGCATTACTTCTTCCAGGAACCACATTAGCCAGCTCCGTATCACTCAGCACATCGGACATGCTGCTGGCTTCCCAGAACTCCAGCATCCTGGTGGAAATACTCTACAGAAATCATGGAAAAGCCAAACCCACAAAGCCAGACTGAAAGGTTTTTAATTACATCAAAAGAGTTGAGTGTGGTCTGGGTTTCACATGGAACATTCTTTTCATCTATTTTCCCACTCAAATACTATTGTTGTTAGTGTCTTTAGGATACATTCTGCCTGGTTTTATGTATTAATTTTATTTTGTTACGTTATTTTTTTATGATGCCAATGTGACTCTTTATAAGACAGATTATTTCCTGGGCATTTGAAAAGGAATCTGTCAGGGCCTTTCACCTAAGCTTACTCACACAAAAAAAAGTCCCCAATCTCTTTATTCAAGAAAAGAAAGACCCAGAACTGAAAGGGGCCAGGAAGCTGGGCCACCCTTTTGTTTGTGCTCAGCACTTTTGATCCCAGGACTTCCTGAGAGGAAGGACGTTGCAAACCACCCATGCAGCAAGGCAGACTACAGCCGATTTTTATGTTGCTCCAGTTTCCTCAAGGAGGACCCCCAGATGTGACCCCTTTGTTTGCCACAAGAAACTTGGGGATCCTGACATCACTATTTTAATAAATAGATGGTACCAAATGCCCTCTGATGGCATTTTATATAACCGCCCCTCCAGGAGAGGCAGGTTTTCCTTGGCCTTCTTCTGAGATTCCAGGACCTCAGGTGACTTCTGTGCCCAGCGAATGTTGAGTAACTTCATCCCCTGCAGGTTTCTTGGTCCCACCAGGAGCATGTGTGAGTAGAAGGAGGAACGTTGCTTCCTTTGAGCCTTAGCCCATTATTCAAAATGAATAGCTTTCCTTTTAAGAGCTTTTCTCTGCTTCTTTGCTACTAAATAATGGGCATGGAATATAATGAAGTTATCACATATGATGTAATAATGAGGACATGGAAGTTAGACCCCAAATTCATAACCAGTAAACCTCCATGGTGTTCTATAGTTTGCCTTCTGATGATCATGTGAAAATCCCAAGGACATCAGATTTCATGCAGCTATTGTTAGGCTGTGGCTTGATTTTTCTCGTGAAATTACACCCTACTTTGAGGAGGGGCATCAGCAATGCAGTTTCAAACATGCATAGCAAAGATGCACAAGGAAAGGCTGTAAGAAACCTGCTCTTTGCTGAAAAACAAGCATCACGTTGAGCATTTCTTGAGTTCTGAAACCTGGCCAATGTTGCTCTCATGGTGAAAAACCCCAAACTTGGAAAACCATTGTCCTTTTCAGGACAATGTCCATTTCTTTAGCTCTAGAGTAAATAAATGTCATCAGTACATAGTTCCACTCTGTTCCGTACAAATGCCCAGCATCTGTTTCTTCAACAATTTTAAAACTGTAAATGTGTTGATAAACTACCAAAAAAATACCAGTTTAATTCACATACATCAGAATGAAAGAGCTGGACGTGTTTAGGGGCATAATGTAGGCAGGGAAAGGTCAGGTAGGATTACAAGGGAAGGGAATTCCGGCATTCTAGCCCTTTCCGCGCAGTG